TGAGTCAAATTTGACTCATAGAAACTCTATAGTACAGAATAGGGCTACCCCACAGGGTCTCCAAGGCTATAAATGTTTAGGGACACAGACTGCCTCACCTTTCTCCCATGGAGCATCTGGTAGGTTTGAACTGCCAACCTTTCGGTTAGCAGCCAGATGCTTTAACCACTGCCCTGCCAAAGCTCTTCTAGCTCACTTTACTTTGGAAGAATTCTCACCTTCCACATGGAAGACCCAGGTTCAATCCTGGACAATGCCCCTCATAAAGCCACCACCCATCTGTCAGGGGGAGCTTTTGTGTTGTTGTGATGTTTAATAGGTTTCAGGAGCATTTCCTAAGACAGACTGAAAAGTCTGGTGATCTGCTTCTGAAAATCAGCCAGTGAAAAAACTCTTATGATCACATCGGCCCAACCCTGTTGTGCATGGGGTTACCATGAGCTGGGAGCCAACTTGGTAGCAGTTAACAACAATGGTTCCTAAACTAGTATTTCCTTCTGAATCACTCAGAGACTTCTAAAAATTCAGATGCTGGGCCCCACCCACAGATATTTTGATTTAATAAGTCTGATAAGGAGCTCTGGTAGCACAGTACCTAAGGCACTTGACTGCTAACCAGAAGGCTGGTGGTTCAAACCCACCAGCCACTCCTCGGAAGGAAGGTTGGGCATTCCTACTTCCGTAGTGATACTGCCTCGGAAACCCAAGGAGGGGTCACTATGAGTCAGGGCCGACTCGATGGCAAATAACACCACCAACAACAGGTCTGATGAAGAGTCTAGGGCTCAACTTTTAACAAGCTCCCAGGTAATTCCAAAAATCAGTCAAGTTTGAGAACTAGCCCTCTAGCTCAAGGTCAGAAAACTACAGCTCCCAAGCCAAATCTGACTCCCTGCCAATTTTTCTAAATAAAGTTTTATTGGAAAGCAGTCATGTTCCTTTATTTATGTATTGTCTATAGCTGATTCATGCTACAATGGCAGAGCTGAGTAGCTGCAACACAGACCATATGACTTGCAAAGACTAAAATATTTACTATCTCATCCATTAAGGAAAAAGTTTCCCAAACCTGCTCTTGTCTGTCATAACTAATTCTCAGAATCATGTTATTACTTGTGATAAGGACTAAGTAAAGCAATAATGGATTATCACTACTAAAATGAACCCCTTGACTAAATTCTCCACAGTCTTCATCTTCATATGAGAAACATGATACATATACCAAAAAACCAAACTCACTGCTGTCAAGTTGGTCCGACTCATAGCGACCCATTCTTGGGTTTCTGACATGGTATCTCTTTGGAAGTAGATTCCCCAGTCTTCAAATTACCAGCCAAATTAATTTTTTTCTTGAGTTATCCTGACCCCTAGTGGTAGAGGTGTTAAATCACAAATGATTAATCAAATTAGGTTGTCCCTAACTGTTAATTAATTCCTGAAATTAGAGTCATATTTATAGATTCTGTTGCAAGGGACTTTAGAAATCAGAGTTCACTTGGTAGAATGGAGCTAAATGAAACAGGCTGGGAGAAGGTTGGAGATTTTGAGAACTAGAATCCCTTCCTTCTCTGAAGAGTTCTTTTCTCTTCAAAGGCTTTTACTGGGGGTAGCATTTCCAACTAGATAGGTTGTTTCTGGGAGCTCTGGTAGCATAGTGCCTAAGGCACTTGACTGCTAACCAGAAGGCTGGTGGTTCAAATCCGCCAGCCACTGCTCGGAAGGAAGATGGGGCAATCTACTTCCGTAGTGATACTGCCTCAGAAACCCAAGGAGGGGTAGCTATGAGTCGGGTCCGGCTCGATGGCACATAACAACAACAGGTTGTTTCTATCAAGGTGATAAATTTTCTCAGGGACGTTATACCCATTTGTGATGCAATGTCTATGTCTAAAATTGAAATACAGGACTATGGATATGATCGAAAGCACTATGCTGAAGAGTAATGAAAGGGAAGAAGGCTTGATGAGGACGTTGGATGCATCCATTATAGCAGTGCAAACTAGCCAAGATGAGTACCAAGGGGAACAGCACACATGTTGGTAATAATGAAAAGGCAGAGGATTACACCATCGGTTTTCAATTTTTATTACAGACTAAAGCTCTCTGGGGAGCTTTGAAAAAATAGTGATGGTCAGGTTCCCGTCCCTGGAGATTGTGATTTAATTGGTCTGGGGTAAGGCCCAAAACTCTTAGAGTTCTCCCACCCAACACCCACTGGCACAGAGTTGATTCCAACTCATAATGCCACTATAGGACAGAGTAGAACTTCCCTCATAGGGTTTCCAAGGCTGTAAATCTTTACAGAAGCAAACTGCCTCATCTTTCTACCATATAGCAGCTGGTAAGTTTGAAACACTGACCTTTTGGTTGGCAACCAAATGCTTTAACCACAGTACCACCATATAGCTCTTTACAGAGTTTCAGGTGAGTCTAATGTGTAACATAGATTAAAAATCACTGTCACTGAACAATTTGTAAGAAATTGTTGAATGAGAACCTAAACTCTGGGTAAACCTTTACTGAAAACACTGTATATATACATACATACATACATACATGTTATACAATATGTATATATAAATATATGTGTGTGTATATGTATATACATATGTAAAAGTAAAAGAAAGTCCTTGGGGGGGGGCACAAAGGGTTATGTGCTTGGCTACTAAGTAAAAGATTGGGGTTTGAGTCCATCCAGAGGTGCCTCAGAAGAAAATCCTGGCAATCTACTTCCAAAAGATCATAGCCACTGAAAACCCTATGGAGTGCAGTTCTCCTGACACACATGGGCTCACCATAAGTCACAGATGACTCGACAGCAACTGGCTTTAAATGGGAGAGTTCTAAGGTACTGAGATGGTGAAAATGTTTCCATGTTATCTCAGGCAAGTACCTGAAGAATTTAGTATGTAAACCCCTGGAATTTGGAGAACATAAAGGCTTGCTGTCTGACTCCTTCCTAAAAACAACATAATGGGTAAGAGGAAAGATGACTAGCCACTTTGATGCAGGTAGTGGAGAGGATGTCTCCAAGCTAGAATTAAACAGCATTCCCAGAGTTCTTTGGGGCTAAGAGTGGGTAATTCCTATTATAGTGGAAGCTGTGATGAACGACCCAGGGCCCCCTTCAGGATTTACTCCACCAGCAACCAGAATTGCTGCCAGCATGCAGCCGTTAGCTGACATCCACTACAGGGACTGTCTCTGCTGAAGACACCCAATGACTGGTCAATGTGGCTGTATAAAGGCCCAATCCACTCATCCCAACTAAGGGCAATGCAGGGCCATCCTAGCTTCAGAACTCCCTGTAGGATTGGCTGAGGCTTCCTGGGAGACTGCATCGCAGCCAACTTCTCCCTCTGCCCAATATTGCTTCTTTCCCTTCCTTTCCATAAGTATTGATCCCAAGGGCACTCCCTAATAAACATCTTGCACCGTTACCTCCATCTTAGAGTCTACTTCCCAGGAAACATAACCTACAGCACTTGTGGATTAGATGCGGGCCCAACAGGCAAGTGAACCAGCATAGAATATTTTAAATTAGTCCAAGGGATCCTGAAGGGTTGAACAAACATGAACAGAAAGAATGCTTAAAGTGTCACTGGATTTCTTACAGCTGATGAAGAAGTAAGCAACTGCCTTGGTCAAGGTATCCCTGAGTGCTGCAAAGTGCTGGCATGCTGACTAAAAGGGTGGAGGTTCAAATCCACTCAGAGGCACTTCAGAAGATAGGCCTAGTGATCTACTTCTGAAAAATTGGCCACTGAAAATCCTATGTAAAGGATGAATGATGTAATCACAGCATGAATGACGTAATCTATGTCACTAAATTACACATGGACAAATGGTTGAATTGGTGAATGTTTTGTTGTGTGTATCTTTACCACAATTAAAAAGAAAACCCGGTGACAACCATAGTTCTATTCTTATACACATGGGGTTGCCACAAGTTAGAATCCACTTGATGGCAACTGGTAGCCCTAGTCAAAGAAACTAAAGACAAAATATCAACAGTAATGGAAGCAGGGGTGTCTTTGAGGAACTGAAAAAAGTGTCTATGGAAGAAAGGGTCAGCTTTAACCACTTACCAAGTCCACAAAGTACAACATCCAGCTCACCAGTCAGTCAAATAAAATCTTTCCTACTTCCTTTTCTCTCCCTTATGTCAAACCTGAAAAGGTTAGAAACCCAAGTTAACAGGCACACAAGAAGGGTAAGAGAGAAGATGCCATCCCACCCTTTCCCTGAGTGACTGTTTTAAGTCCAGAACAGTATCATTACCCCCGCCCCCATCTCTTTTTCACTTTTCCTATCACCTAAAACACCAGTTGGAATTGACTAGACAGCAACTGGCTGTTTCTTTGCTTTTTGTTTTTTAAATTCCACACTACCCCCAAATTCTACCTTGTCTTTTATTTCGTGAGATGCCCCATAGTTCCTCTGGTGTGCGGTCTCTAGTGTCCCCCATTGCAACATGTCAGAAAATCTGAACTTGTAGCACTAAGGAGTGTTCTGGATGGTGGTATATAGACTGAAAAGGTCTTCCGTAGCCGGTACTGTGTCTCGCTTGTCATTACAGCCACATGCATACTAAGAGGCACATGGTGAAAGCCACATAATAGGCACTCAATAAATTCCTCAGATTTTCAACTTCTGGGATCCAGCTTCTGGTTAGAAGCGCCAGGTCAGAAGCAGCCGTGGCAGCAGAGACAGCTGCAGCGGAGATACAGGGGACTAGACCTTTCGCGAGGAAGTGCACGCCCGCCCGGTAGACTCTGGCGGGACAGCAGCAGAGGAGAGCCGCTGAGCCCGCGCGCCCGCCAAGCCAGGCCACGTCCCTTCAGGTCCCAAGTGGCCGCGGCGCCGCTGGCCCACATTCCTTATGCCCTCCCCGCCCCGCCCCGCCCCTCTCGCCCCGCCCCGCGCCTCTCGCCCCGCCCCGCGCGAGGGGTACCGCCCCTCCTGGTACCCAGAGGGCCAGTGGAAGCGCCTCGCGGGCAATGGGGACTGCCTCGTCTCTCGTGAGCCCTGCGGGTGGGGAGGTGATCGAGGACACGTACGGGGCGGGCGGCGGCGAGGCCTGCGAGATCCCGGTGGAGGTGAAGCCCAAGGCCCGCCTGCTGCGCAACTCTTTCCGCCGGGGCGCCGGGGCGGCAGCAGGGGCCGGGCCTGGGTCGCTGTCTCGCGGGGCGGGTGGAGGCGGCCTACTGGGGGCCAGCTTCAAGTCCACCGGCTCGTCGGTGCCCGAGCTGGAGTACGCGGCGGCCGAGTACGAGCGGCTGAAGAAGGAGTACGAGATCTTCCGGGTCAGCAAGAACCAGGAGTTGCTGTCCATGGGCCGTCGCGAGGCCAAGCTGGACACGGAGAACAAGAGGCTGCGGGCCGAGCTGCAGGTAACGCTGGCCCCCGGGCCGCCGCGACACCGGGGAAACAGTCCCGGGGCAGCCTGCTCACGGCCGCGCAGCCATCTGGCAGCTCTGCCCGGGTGGATTCGTGACGCCTGATCCGTCCTGCTTCCAGCCTTCCTCCTCCCAAAACCAAGTAGTTTTGAAAGTTGAGCGGAAACTGCTCAGTATTTTAATTTTGGGGGCCTTATTCTTTTGGATTCTAAACTGGATTTTTAAACTCCCTCCCACACCCACGCAGACATTTCTATTTCATTCATTCAGGAACCTTGAAGGCATTAACCCTAAGTTTCCAGAAACACAAATTCCAGTCTCCACGGATCTCCAAAAAATAGGTTCACACTAGGCACAAACAAGCAAAAGACTTTGGGGATGTCTGCTTAAGCAACCCAACCATTCTTTTAGGACTTTTACCCAGATGTTTTACATGCCTCCAAGTGTGACTCTTGTCTTTATAGCTCTTCAAATGGTTTTTACCATCTTAACTATTGTGGTTGAAAATCTTTCGGAGATGCAGTCAAATTCTCTTTAATCTATGTCATTCATGTATTCAAAAAAACAGTTCTTGCATGATTCCATTCAAATAGTATAAACACCAAGAGGTTGCTTTGTGTAAGTAGAGTTCTCAGACTTTGTACCATTGGTTTGGGGCCCTTCTGAGGGTTTTGGGTGGTTTGTTTATTCTTACTATGTGAGAGACTTCTTGTGTCCCTGGACTCATTATGGTAGGAATTGAATAAACCCCTGACTCATTTTTCTAAAAGAAATCCTCATTCTTCTAATCTTGGTGTTCTTCTAGTCAGAGGTTTTGTTTTTTTCTTCATTAGTTGAGTAATTAAGCACTGGTATCTAGGAAGACAGGTATTAGCAGGCTATCTGTTGTCTTGTAAGTTTTTCTGTTGGGCAGTCTTACTACACTTGCCTGTATGAAATGGGTTTGCGCTCTTCAGATACCTGATTTCATGTGTGCCTACCACAACCATAAAGAAAGGACTCAGCCACCTCAGTGCACACTGCGCATTGGAAGTGACTTTGAGATGGCAGGTAGAAAAGCAGGGCAGTAAGAGTTGACAAATGTCACAGCCCCAATTGTACTTTTTTCCAATCCTGATTCTGTATGTAAATTGGTTTGTTTCTACCTCAAGTATCTAGGCATTTGGGGAAAAATAAAATCCTCCTACTTATTTACCTTAATTCAATTAGTCAGACATTTACTGGAGACTGCAGAGTACCGGATACAAAAGGGCTCTGGGGATAGCAAAAGGAGTAAGACATGGTACCCAGAAACACACCATCCCACAGAATTGATTATCCCTCAAAGTAAGACTTATAAATTGTAAGTTTTGTTCTCTTAAAGATAGAAAAAACAGAGGTACAGGGACGTTTAAGAGTCAATGCAGTATTTCAGAGAAAAAATATTAACTTCCCTTGAAAGCTTAATGTTGAAATGTCTTCATTTGCTATATACTTCAAGTGTGTTTACATTTTTTCCATTCTGTGTTTGAGTAAAATGATATGCAGTTCTTGATCATTGGTAAAATACTAAGCAGATTGGTGAAAATTCTAAGATATGTGTAATATATATAAAAGGTAATGTAAACTTGGGAGGAATATTATTTTTGTTAGAAAATAACAAGGTAAATTATTCCAGGCACTTCAAAAAACTTACCAGAAGATACTTCGGGAAAAAGAAAGTGCTTTAGAAGCAAAATATCAAGCAATGGAGAGAGCAGCTACATTTGAACGTGATAGAGATAAAGTTAAAAGGCAATTCAAGGTAAATTTCCTACTTGTTCTTATGTCCAAAATGACAGGTATAAAGATAATCTATTTAGAAAGTTCATATAATGCTGTGAAGAATAAACCTGTTAACTTGTTGCTGTTGAGCTGATTCTAATTCATGGTGACCTTATGTATTACAGAGTAGAACTACTCCATAGGGTTTTCTTGGCTGTAATCTTCTGTAATCTTTATGAAGCAGATCTCCAGGCCATTTCTTCCGTTATACTGTTGAGTGGGTTTCACCTGCTTCCCTTTAGGTTAGTAGTACGATGCAAAATGCTTGCACTACCCCAGGACCTGTGAAGAATAAATAGAAGTAGATCATGTAGGATTTCTGAAACGTACAGAAACTAGAATTCTTTTTACATTTTTGAGTTGGACATGGAAATTTGATAAAGGTATGTTGTTGCTGTTGTTATGTGCCATGGAGTCGGACCCATCTCATAGAGACCCCTCCTTAGGTTTCCAAGGCAGTATCACTACAGAAGTAGATTGCCCAACCTTCCTTCCGAGGAATGGTTCAAATCCACCAGCCTTCTAGTTAGTAGTCAAGTGCCTTAGGCACTACACTACCAGAGCTCCTTGATATAGGCTAGAGATTTTGAAGAAAAGGTAAGTGTTCTGAGAGGAGACATTTCAAAATGTTTAGAGCTGTTTCATTTGGGAAGGCGTTACTGGAATTTAGTGGTAGTAGAGAAATTTGCTAACACTGTGGAGTGCACAAGTCACACACCACAGACACGTATCCTGCTGGGAAATGCAGTGGGTTCCAGTTATGAAATAGTGAGTGAAAGGAAGTGGGATTAGTTATCCCACAAAAGAAGAGATCAAGAAACAGATGAATATGCATTGGTTGTGTAGATGAAAGAGTTTTCCTTTCAAAATTGATGACCTAACCTTTTGACTATGGAAAAAAAAGTTTCAAAATTAAAATTCTTTTCTTTGAAGATATTTAGGGAGACCAAAGAGAATGAAATTCAGGACTTACTGAGGGCCAAGCGAGAGTTGGAGAGCAAACTTCAGAGGCTACAGGCTCAGGGGATCCAAGTATTTGATCCTGGGGAGTCTGATTCAGATGACAACTGTACAGACATTACTGGTAAATTTATTTTCTATTTATAATATTTTGAGCTTTCAGCATAGCTTTAGCGAAATTGTAGAGCCAACTTTGAGTCCTGTTACATTATTTTCACTTATCTGTATTTGCTAGGCGATTGCTTTGAGTGCTGTTAAAAAGTTACTTTTCTCTCCCTCTCTCTCTCTTTCTCTCTTTCAGCTTCTTTTCAACTTCTCCATGAAGTTGTTAGGGGCTGAAAAGTTCCTTCTGTCTGGTTCCTCTGCCTGCCTTAACCCATAGCTTTTCTGTCTCTGGTCTAAGATAGCTGCACCAGTTCCTATCATCTCATCTGCATTTTAGCCAAGAAAGGGAAGAACACATTTCTTTACTTGATGGCTCAACCTTGAAGATACATAGATCACTTCTGCTCAAATCCCATTGGCCAAAACTTTACCCACTGCCATCAAGTGGATTCCAACTTAATAACAACCATATAGGACAGGGTGGAGCTCTGGTGGCACAGTGCCTAAGACATTTGCCTGCTAACCAGAAAGTTGGCAGTTCAAACCCACCAGCTGCTCATGGAAGGAAGATTGGCAATCTACTTCCATGAAGATTTACCAACTTGGTAACCCAATGGAGGGTCACTGTGAGTCAGAATCGACTCGATGGCAGGGAGTTTGGTATGGTTTTAGATAGGACAGGGTAGAATTACTTCATGATGTTTCCAAGGCAATCTTTAAAGAAGCAGACTGCCATATCTTTCTCCTTCAGTGTGACTGAGGGGTTTGAAGTGAAATGAGGCAACTGACAATTCCCTTTTAATTTATGTTTTAGTACCATTAGAGCTTGACCCGCATCCTGGGACAGTTTATTACCAACTTTTGAGGAAAAAATGAAGTGATTGTTACTGGCCAAGAGTGACTAAGAAAACTGCTTTTATGCCCCACATTAATCTCAATGGTTAAAAGGATATACTCTCTGCCACAAAGAACTTAACAGCCTAATGATTACAAATATCAGTCACTAGGAGCTCTGGTAGCATAGGGCCTACGGCACTGGACTGCTAACCAGAAGGCTGGCGGTTCAAACCCACCAGCCACTCCTCAGAAGGAAGGTTAGGCATTCCTACTTCCGTAGTGATACTGCCTCGGAAACCCAAGGAGGGGTCACTATGAATCGGGGCCGACTCGATGGCAAATAACAACAACAACAACAGTATGCTAATAATAATCTACCTTTAAAGTTCTGCCTCTTGAAATTTTATATCAGTATCTGAACTGTGCAGTTAGAAATGGTTTTTATAGTTTTGGGGGAAGGGTTTTATTTCTCTCTTACTGTAATTCCTTTGTTTATTGTATTCTTTCTTATTTTTTTTTTTGTCTTTCACTTTTTAATCCTCTCTTTGAATTTGAGACGATGACCAGAAATATGTTAATCAGAGAAAGTGGCAAAGTACTTTTAAAATCATTAAAGTTTGAATTTTGTTGTACTTGTAATAGTATTTTTTAAAGTAGAGATCTTGTCCAGAGTAAATGGTAAGCTTTTGAACATTGAGTAATTTGATTTTCACAAGATAAAATTCCTTGCTTTTAGCTGCTGGAACCCAGTGTGAATATTGGGCTGGTGGAGCCTTGGGAAGTGAGCCTTCCATAGGGAGCATGATGCAGCTTCAGCAGTCCTTCCGAGGCCCTGAGTTCGCCCATAGTTCTATAGACGTAGAAGGACCCTTTGCAAACGTCAACAGAGGTAATACATTCTATTTTCCAATTACCTTGGCTTCCTGTAGTGACTTTTCATGTACTGTAATCTTGTAGAGGAGGATTGCCATTAACAGTGCATGAGTTTTATGTTCTGGGTGCCTTCCCTTAACACACCTGGCCAGCCTGGTCAACCTGAGCTGCTGGTCAGAATTCTCAGGTGTTTTAGTTCAGCGGCAAAAGTATAACACAGATTAACTGAGAAACAGTAGTTTTAAGTCCTTCCCTCTGCTTCGTTGATGGTGTTGAAGGTTATAGCAGGTTAAGGAACAGGATACAAAAAGCCATGTTAAAAAGGACTGTATTCTTACTATTTTTATATAACAGGGTGTCCATAGTAATTCTAAGATCTAGTTACAATTTCAGACCTAAGAAGTTAGAAGTAGTTCTACGTTTTTCTTAAAACTAAAATTATTTATCTGTTTGCAAAATGAAAATTGTTTTTTTAATGGTGCCTCTAGACTTAGCAAAGTGTATCTTAAAATATTTATTCTTGCTAAATAGCATGCTTTCCTTTAATGTCATTCTTGAACATATTTTGAGAATAATAATGAGATAAAACTCTAGGCCAGCCTGGGAGTATGGTTTCCCCTCGAATAGCAATCAAATAGCAAACTAACTGAAGCTCTCATGTAAAATGGTTCCATGACAATTGACTGGAACCACTGGTACCCAGGGAAGACCACTGGTGACGTTTGTTGTTTCAAGTCTCAGGACAGAATTTGAAGTTAGAACTAATTGACTTCTAATAAGTGATTCTAGAAGCTGTGTCAGTAGTAACATGTGACATCAGATCCATTCTGTGATACCAATGGTATTTTTTTCAGACTCCTTTTGAATCATCCTGTCCAGTGTTCTCTGGTGATTCTTTTCATGAACTTAGGAAATTATTTTTATTTTCAGATGACTGGGATATTGCTGTAGCTAGTTTATTACAAGTTACTCCCCTGTTTTCACATTCTCTATGGAGTAACACTGTCAGGTGTTACCTTATTTATACAGATGAAACCCAGCCTGAAATGGAGCTTTTCCTTAAGGTGAGGATGTTTATAATTTCTGTATTCACTGATATAGAAAACAAGAATACTGTGTTCTATTTTTAATACTACTACATATAACCAAGTAGTTTATTACCAGCTAGATTAAATTTCTTAAAGAACAGGAAACATCTTGGGCTTTTCTTAAGAGAAAAATCTTGTTCAGTATTAGCAGTATATTAAAGAAGGATAGATGCTGTGACTCAAGGATTCTTTGTTGTTGTTGGTTTGGTTTTAACTTTCTGGGAATAAGAAGTCAGGCTCTGAGACAGAAAAAGAAAGTTCTGTTTGTGGAGCGTTTTGAATATCAAATTAAGGTGTTGGACCTTTATGTTTTTGGAATCCTTCATTGCATATTCCACCCTTGTGGAGAGTGCCTGCTTTAATATCTGCTATTTCTATCCTTGAATTTGTTTCAAATGGTGACAAGATTAAATCTTGGCAGGGTTTTTAATATTCCAATGCTGAAATTATTCTCAGTGGAATCAACAAATTATAACAAATTCTAGTGGCTGCCTGTCTTTCTATGGCCAGAACTAAGATTGATATTTATATTTTGGAATGGTTGGAAAACAATTAAAAGAAGAACAATATTTTGTGATGTGAAAATTGTATGAAATTCAAATTTTAGTGTCTATAAATAAAATTTTATTAGAACACAGCCACTCTCATTAATGTATTATTTGTCTGCTTCACATCATACCAGAAAAGTTGTGACAGAGACCAAATAGACAGCAAAGACCTATGCCAAAACAGCCAAGTTGTTAAACTATTATTTTATAAACACATTTGCCATCTGAGCCTTTACAGAAAAAGTTTACCAACCACTGTTCTAAATGAGCTTGAAGTAAACCTATGTGTCACATGCTACACCTATTATAATATCTTCCAGATTGTTCATTAAGGAATTCATTTTGTGATATTACTTAATTCTGATAAAAATAGGAAATATTTTAAAGCCCAACGTTTCCACTCATTGATTGAATACAAGCTAGTCCCAATGACGTTTTCAAGGAATTACTAATTGTTTTGCTTAATAATGATCATCATTACCTAATAACCTAATTTGTTATCAACCAATATATTTTTAATTTCTGTCTTTCTGTTTTAGTATTCTAATATATTAGGATGAATACTTTTTACTGTTTCCATCTATGGATATATTTTTTACTTTTTCAAGTAACAAAACAGAAATAACTCTTAAACTAACAATAAAATAAACAAATGAAGGAAATAGCCTACTACTTTTCTCTGGTTGTTTTAGGCTTTGTTATGAAATAAGTTTTCTGAGTTAGAAAACAGCCAAGTTGTTAAGCTATTATTACGTTTGTTTTATGTTGTTGTTGTTGTGGTTAGGTGCCATCGAGTCAATTCCAGCTCATAGTGACCCATGTATAACAGAACAAGATAATGCCCTATCCTGTACCATCCTCATAATCCTTGCTGTGCTTGAGCCCATCTTTGCAGCCACCTCATCAGTTCATCTCATTGAGGGTCTTCCCCTTTTTCTCTGACATTCCACTTTACTAAGCATGGTTTCTTTCTCCAGGGACTGGTCCCCTCTGACTACACAGCCAAAGTAGGTGAGATAAAGTCTGGCCATTCTCACTTGTAAGGAGCATCCAGCTACACTTCTTCCAGGATAAATTTGTTCATTCTTCTGACAATCCATGATATTTTCAGTATTCTTCACCACACCACAATTCAAAGGCATCAATTCTTCGATCTTCCTTATTCATTGTCCAGCACTCACATGCATATGAGATGATTGAAAATACATTGGCTTGGGTTAGGCACACCTTAGCCTTTTGTTTGTTTTGTAGAAAACGATTTTTCTTCAAGATGTTTTTTCAAATGATTGTATTATTTTAAAATTTGAACTAGAAAATATCTAATGTAGCCTATTCTAAAGTATGCTTTATTTTAAGAGGTATGACACTAACTAGACCTTTTAGTTAAATAAGTTACACTTTTATATATTTTGTTTTAGGACTATTCACCTAAACTTAAAAGAATGTGTGAAACAATGGGATATTTTTTCCACACTGTGTATTTTCCAATAGAAATTTATGATCAATACCTTGCTGTAAGAAAATGGGAAATCGAGAAGAGTTCATTAGTTATTTTATTCATTCATTTAACTATACCAAGGTAAGCTGAAAAAAATATGTACTATATTACAGTTTAAATAGAATTGAGATTGCCTAATGAATTTCAATTCAAACCCACCAGCCACTCCTCGGAAGGAAGGTTGGGCATTCCTACTTCCGTAGTGATACTGCCTCGAAAACCCAAGGAGGGGTCGCTATGAGTCGAGGCCGACTCAATGGCAAATAACAACAACAACAACAATGAATTTCAAAGATAAATTCTAATAGCTTTCTTATAATCAAAAACAGCCTATGGAATTCAATAAATTCTGTAACTCCTCCACACTTAAATAAAATGAAGAATTAAAAGTTCCTTACTGTTAAACTTGTTTAATAGGTCCTATGAGCAATATCATTAATATGTATAGATTATTTTAATCAGGGACTGTCAGACTGTGACTAAACAGGATCCATTCCTGTTTGGTAAATGAAATTCTATTGATACTGTGTTTGTAAATAGAATTATGTTTCTACTTGTTTACAAAGTATCATGAATCTGATTCATTATTCTGAGCCATGTTTAATAGTATTTTGAGATTTTTTTTTAGGTTTAAGGAATAAAACAGTTATGTATACTTGAAAGTTTATTGTATTTACTTTCATTGTATCCTAATGAATGCATTATGTATTAAGACCAAGCTATAAAATAACTGTTTTTGGAAAGCTTTGCTTGTTCTGCAGCTGGGTCTTTTCTGGCCATTAGTCACAATAGTAAATCCCAGTATTGGCACTTAGGTTGATTGACCGACTATTTGGTGCCATGGTGCAGTAACACAAAAAATGCTGGTTTCCAATCTAGCCTTTTATTGGAAGACTGTGAAGAAGCTTTTCTGAAAAACCCTGAAGGAAAGCCACGATTAATTTATCATCGTCTAGAGGATGGGAAAGTCAGTTCTGATTCTGTCCAGCAATTGATTGGTCAAGTTTCTCACCTAAACAAGACCAGCAAAGTCAAGGTAGAATTCAGAGGGCTTTTTGTTTTTAAACTTATATATGAAATTTGATGAGAGAGTAATATCAAAAATAGACTTTTAACAAAAACAAGAATGTTAAAGATATTTTGTATAAATTTATATTTGCCTCCATATGTCTTAAGAACCTAAATAGTAATCAATTCATTCATTCAACAAATAGGTATTGAGCACCTACTATGTTCCAGACACTGTTTTATTGCTTGGATACAAAATGAAGTCATGGAACTTAGATTTGAGTGGGGAGATACAGTAAAGATAATAATAGATATAGAGTATGTTAAAAGGTGGTAAGTCCTATGGAAAAATGATTTAAAAATACAGTAGGATTAGGGAGATGGGAGGTGTGACAGCAGGGGAAAGGGGCAGTTGCTGAATTAAATAGAATGGATAGGAAAGGCCTCATTGAGAAGATGAAGTTAAACAAATTCTTTAAGGAGGAGAAAGAGTTAGTCATGTGGATATCAGGCAAAGGAACATGCTTGGCAGAGAAAGAGCTAAAGCAAAGACCAAGAGGTGGGAGTGAGCCTGGCATGTTTGGGGAGAGGAAGGAAGCCACTATGACTGGAGCACAGTGAGTGAGGGGAGATTAGTAGGAAAGAATATCAGATGGGTAACAGATGGCCTAATGGTAAGGAACCTTGTAGACCATTTTAAGAACTTTGCTTTCACTTGGAATGTGAGAGACCACCATTGGAGAAGATTGAGAGAAGAATGGCAGTATCTGATGAGATCATTGGGCAGTGCTTTCTTAGGCTATTGTGTTGAGAATAGATCATGGTTTTGAGGGCAGTGGGAGAAGGCAGAATCAGGAAGCTCTGCCAGAATGCTATTGCAATCATCCATGTGAGATGCTGGTGGCTTGGTCTGTGGTGGTAGTAAAGGAACTGATGAGAAATGGTTCAGTTCTGGACTAATTTTGACAGTTGAGCCAATAGGATTTCCTAACAGATTAGATATGGGCTATGAAAACAAAAAAAACCAAACTCACTGCCATTGAGTCAATTCTGACTCATAGCAACTCCTCCTTGGGTTTCCGAGGCTGTATCTCTACGGAAGTGGATTGTCCAGTCTTCCTTCCAAGGAGTGGCTGGTGGGTTTGAACCATCAGCCTTCTGGTTAGCAGTCAAATGCCTTAGGCACTATGCCACCAGAGCTCCTATCAAATGGTATAGAAATGAATAAAACAAAATTTGCACATATAGACAAAAAAATGTATACTTTTTATTGCAGCACTGTTCACACAAAAAATCTCATGTAAGTGAATGCCCTGTAAAATATAAAAATACTTACTCCATGTGACTAGTGTATGATCTTGGACAAGTTACTTAACTTGCTTCAGTTTCCTCCTCTGTAAAATGGAGATAGCATCTCTGTTGTGTGAGGATAAATGACCTTACACATGTAAAATACTTAGAACAGTGCCTGGCATATAGTAAACACTATGGAAGTATTTACCACTGCCTCCCCCACCTATTATTATTACTGTTACTTTTAGTGGTGGTAGAGTTTCTTATTGTTTTTGAGCTTTTTTTTTATTTTCCCCCTCAGATCATTGATCACTCAGGAGATCCTGCGGAAGGAGTATATAAAATTTATATTTATGTGGAAAAGATTATTAAACAGGTAAAAATGTACATTCCCTGTAAGATTCCATCTAAAATATTTTAAGACTATTTTCCATAAAATTGGATTTTCCAGAGAAAATTTTATTATTTTTTAAAACAATACCCAAGAAGAGCACCATTGTTTCTATTAGGAGTCAACTCTCTCAGGGTTGTGGTATTACTGTGCATCTTTAGCTCTCATCTGCCTCACAGGCCATTTGATGCAAATTAGTTAGTGTGTCTGTTAGTGTAAAGCTCACCTCTGGGGGTCTGGGAACATGGATCATAGAGGTGTATCAACTGAAAGTGTTTGTGAAGTCTAAAGTATTATCTTGAAATTTTACATGAATTATATACTCTGTACCATATTATAAGGAGCTCTGGTGGCAGAATGCCTAAGGCATTTGACTGCTAACCAGAAGGTTGACAGTTGAAACCCACCAGCCGCTCCTTGGAAGGAAGATGGGGCAATCTACTTCCATAAAGATTTACCACCTCGGAAACCCAGTGGGGGTTGCTATGAGTTGAAATTGACCCAATGGCAGTGAGTTTGTGGGTTCTTCTTGGTACCATATTATACCTGCGTTTATTTTTAATATAAAATACTGTGTTTTTAATTATAAGGAAAAATATTAATAGTAATAATAACGCCTCTTATCTTCAAGTAAAATAGGCCCTATAGGAAGATGTATGAGTTTAGCCTAAGTGGTGGCCTGTACCTCCTGAAACATCCCCTAGGGTGCCAGGGACCCTATTTCAGAAGTAAGGAATTAGATTGTCTTTTCTCATTAACTTGTATTCTAAGTATAAAAATTGGTTATCAGAGAAAAAGAATGATCCTCAAAGCTAGTGGTATGAGTTCTGGCAACACGTTTGTATAGCTGTCGCCTTTTTTTTTTTAAATTGTGGTTTGTGTGAAAGTTCACAGACCAAATTCATGCAGAAGCTCACATACGCTTTGTCTCATAATATTGACTACAATTTACCACAGTGCAACAGCTCCCCTCCCACTTCCTCCCCACAGTCACCTCTTCCCTGTGTCCATCCCTCCATACATTCCAGACCCCTGAGCTGTCTCCCTGTGCATACACAGCCCTTCTTTCTCCCATGATTGTTCTCTTCAAGGAGTGTATCTACCTCAGGTGAATGTTCAGTTCATATGCTTGTCTTTTGTTTGGCTGGAAGCCATAGAAGTGAGTTCAATTCCAGACGTGAAGGGCAGCTAGGGGCCATAGCCCCAGTGGTTCCACCAGGCTCTATCAGACCAGAAAACCTGGTCTATTCATTCATTCATTCATTCATTTTTTTATTTTTTTTCTGAGTTTTGTTCCATATTGTTCTCCCACTCTATCCAGGATCTCCTACATAGATCCCCCTCCAAGTGGGTGACAGTGGTAGCCAGGCACCATTTAGTTCTTCTGGTTTCATAGTCATATAGACTGAGGATTGCATGGTATTCCAGTCGCTTGGACCAATTGTTTCCATGAATCTTTAGTTTTCTTCATTTTTCTTTGCTTTAGATGAGCAAAGACCCATCATTGCATCTAGATGGCCACTTGCAAGTTTTAAGATTCTAGTCATGTATAGCCTTCTTTAGTGTAAAGATTGATATTATCACTTTTGATCTTCTTAGCAATCTTGTGAATTTTGGGACTAAGATAAATAAAATTAATTGAGTGGAATAAATGGCAGCAAAGGAAAATGGACACATTTACTATTTTTAATGCTTGAAGAACAGCATATTTTCACTGATCTAATATAAAGATTAGATATAACAGCAGAGCTACTTAATAACAAGAAACCATATCTTGGTGATTAAATTCTTATAAAAACATGAAGGAGCACATTTCTTAAGTATTGGCACAGTCATTAAATTTATTCTTCAGCCAGATAGAACTAAAGATATTGGGAAACATTTTTCAGAAAACAAATACCATGCCAATCAAATACTCCTCTCGCTTTATTTATAATAGAAGGGAGATGTCTTCATTTTTATTGTTTTTAATGCAGTGAAACCTAGAAGAGCTATAACTCAATAGGACCGCATTTCTTTTCTGGATCTTTCAAGTTTCTGCCTTTGACAGGGTGCAGCCTTACCACTTTTCTATCTCTATTAATGAAGAATATTTGAGTTTTCCTTTTCTGACAGGTTTTTCTTACACATGTTCCTGCTTTCACACATTTTACTGTATTTCTTCTTTTCTTTATTTTAAAATTAGTATTTATTTTTATAATTATAAATTATGCTTGTAGGTATTATACAAAGCCTTAGGGCATGGATTTGCCTCCCTTGGTAGGCGTGGCTATGTGCTCAGAGTCTCTACACTCTTTATTTGTTTTCATTGCTTGCACTTGGTGTTCAGGACATACTGGGCTTTGAGAACACAGACCTGGAGTCTAAGGATTTGGGCAGTGAAGATTCCATTCCAGAAGAAGATGATTTTGGTGATGTTCTATGGGACATACATGATGAACAAGAGCAAATGGAAACTTTCCAACAAGCTTGTCATTCAGCCCATGAGTTGGGATTTGAGAAAGTAAGCATACTAGGTATTGTTCCAATATGTACAAGTTCAAAAATATAATATAAATAATTTAAGTAAGAACTAACATATTAAAGAATATTACAGTAGCTAGCATTAACAATTTTATTTTTACAGAAATTTTCTAACTTTGGGTTTGTATCCTGGCTCCACCATTTCTTAACTATGGAAGTCAAGTGACTTAACCACTCTAAGCTTTGATTTTCTTATTTGTAAAATGAGAATAGCTAACAATATCTACTCCATAGGATTGTCATGAGGATTAAGTGAGGTAACACATGTAGAGCCTTTGGCACAGAACCTGGCACATAACAAATGTTAGATTAGTTGTTATTTTATAACGGAGGTATTAGGATTTTACAAATGAAGAAACTAAAGTTCAGACAATGGTTTGCGTAAGCACGTGGGAGGTAGAAGGCAGATCCAGCATTTGAATCTAGATGTTCTGATTCCAAATCTTGTGTTCTTTCTTTTGTAGCAGGGGGTTTTAACTTGGAACCATTATTGATATATGGATTTTAATGGGGCCATGACTTAAACTGTTAGGGTTTAGAGACAAGTGAAATAGTTGCCATGATGTCAGTTTCAACTCATAGCAACCCTGTCAAATAATAAATCAGTAACGCCCTTTGTTCCTTCAGAAGCATCATTGTTATCAGAATATTTGAGCTCTCAGCAAATGTATTCTGTATTTAGACATGACAAACAGAGAAAGTGACTGAAGAACTATGCCAAGTAGTTGCTGGAAATTTTAACCACCCCACAAATTTTAGCTACCACTAACAACTTAGTTATAAGTTCTTTTAATTCTTCATCAGCTGTCATTTAGACCACTAGTACACTTAATAAACATCTTAACCCCCAGGATGACTTTGGAAAGTCCCTTGAGAGTTCTAATAAATACTTAAGTGTTCTGGTTTTCTGAGTGTGTCCTTTTTAGCTCTGAACCAGGTTTAAGTGTCTGGGGGAAAGCCTGGGAATATGAATTCTTAGATGTTACGTAGAACTCAGTCAGCCTCAGAAGAATCTCAGAAGGCCTATCCTAGTCTGATTCTTTGCAGCAAGTTGGAAAATCCCAAGGTCTTACACAAAATCTGCTTATGTTTAGGCCTGTTCTCAGGGATCCCCAGAAACTGAGATGGTCTCCAGGACAGCTGTTGTTCTGACCAGGATATCTAGGCTGCTTGCTGGGCCTTCAAGGCTTTCTGTGGTTTTAGGGACTACAGTATAACACACCGACCTCTCTGCAGCATTCTGCAAAATATGTGAATCATGGAAAACGCCATAAGAATCTTAAGTTGTGTTCCTTACTCAATTAATTTACAGCAATGCTATATGTAGAAGAAGTCAAGGATCATTCTTAAGTTTACTACCTTGGGCACATTTACCTAACTATAAAAATACTTATAAGGCTTCTTCTGTTGACTAGAAGTAGACTTCATTTTCTCATGAAGCTTTTCTTTAATGTTTTCAAAGGATGGTCAGAAGCTGACTGTATTTAGTATTCTGAAAGGCATGTACATCCTCACAATCTAAATTCATTTTTATTTCTAGTATTACCAGCGCCTTAATGATCTAGTGGCAGCACCAGCACCAATTCCACCCCTTCTTGTATCTGGAGGACCAGGTTCTGGAAAGTCCCATCTTTTATCAAAGTGGTATGATACAGTGCAGTGAAATTCTTGTCATCATCTGAATTACTGAATCTTTCAATGTATTGTTGCCTGTCTGCCTTCCTGCATGGCCCATTGCTGCTGCTGTTGTCAGTTGCCATCGAGTCAGTGCTGACTCATGGTGACCTTATGTATAACAGGCAAAACATTGCCTGGTCCTGTGCCGTCTTCATGATTGTTGGTGTGTTTGTGTTCATTGCTATAGCCATTGTGTGGCCTATACCAAACACTGAGGGGAAAATAAGGAGTAAAATAATCGGTTATATAATTTGGATATCAGAGTGAACATACAGAAAGAAAGGAATAGGAAACGTGAGCATTCATGATGGTGTACATAAATGATGTAGGTAAGAGCCAGGTAGGGAGTGGTCAGTGTGACATGGAATTAGGTGAGTTATGGAGGTGATATGCCATTATTTTCAATTATTTGCTTCATCTTAAAAGTTCTACTGGGATTTTTAAATATTTGAAACAGACAGATGTAGACTATGTCGAGTGAAATACATCATCAACATGAAGGATAATCACTGCTCTGAATGCAGTCTGTTGTTGTTGTTATGTGCCGTCAAGTCAGACCTGACTCATAGCGACCCCTCCTTGGCTTCCAAGGCAGTATCACTACGGAAGTAGTTTGCCCCATCTTCCTTCCGAGGAGTGGCTGGTGGGTTTGAACTGCCAGCCTTCTGATTAGCAGTCAAGTGCCTTAGGTACTACGCTACCAGAGCTCCCAAATGCAGTCTAGTTCTTCAAATTATGGACTAAGCTTCATATAAGCTAAACTTTTATTTTATTTTTAAGTAGTAAGAATATTGTTGTCATATGCCATTGAGTCAATTCCAGCTCATGTACAGGTGGTATAGTGGTTAAATGCTTGGCTGCCAACTGAGAGGTTGGCAGTTCAAACCTACCAGCCACTCTGCGGGAAAAAGATGAAGTAGTCTGCTTCCATAAAGATTTCAGCCTTGGAAACCCTATGGGGCAGTTCTACTCTGTCCTGTAGGGTTGCTCTGAGTTGGAATTGACTTGACAGCAATGGGTTTTAGTAATACATATTTTCCTTCATAATTATTATTTACCTTGAAGAGTTAGCATGTATAATTGCTTCCGTTTTTTGCCCTTTGATGTAAAGTTATGTTTGGGAAATAATATTTTTGTGCTTAACAAAGAAATGCCTATTTTCCTATAATAGCATGTTTTTAATTAAAGATTAAGATACATTTTACTCATACTTTAACCTCCTGTGTAAATTATTTTGGTGTAAGTGAGTTAATCTCAATTTGTAGTGAAAATGAATGTATAATTTTCTTAAGTTTGTTTTTAAAAAAAGATTTAAAAGTGGAGTAAAAAGGGAAATCTCCATGTTTATTAAAAAGTGACTGATCATGTGATTCCTGGCGGGTAGCATTTGATGTTTAGTATGTTGTGAATTTTTTTTGTGGTTGACAGGAAAAGAGCCTCATGAGTCTTGTAAATGTTCTGTTTTTTCTTTCAGGATTCAGTTACAACAGAAGAATTCCCCTAACACACTAATTCTTTCTCATTTTGTGGGGAGACCTATGTCAACCAGCTCAGAGTCTTCCTTGATTATTAAACGGCTAACATTGAAGGTATAGTATGCCATCTTTTGGAAGTATCAGAATTGTCATTTATATTCAGAGATTGTTGCGGCCAGATGTACATTCTGACCAATTTTAAAAATTACCTATTTGTTTTGATATTGTATAAGGTTAAACATAGCACTCAATACTTCTGAATCCTCTTTTATTTTTTTATTCTGATTTGTATGAAATTTTACAAAGACTTTTGAGTACTCTTGATAACTCAATTTTTGGTTTAAAAAAGTAAGATTAGACATATTAAAGATAAAGTGTAACTTTGTACATGTTCTCATTCTGTAGTTGATGCAGCACTCTTGGTCAGTATCTGCTTTGACACTGGATCCTGCTAAGCTTCTGGAAGAATTTCCACGTTGGCTAGAAAAACTCTCTGCTCGTCATCAAGGCAGCATCATCATCATTATTGATTCTATAGATCAAGTTCAGGTACTGTTTTGACTTTGTACATAACCTATTAATACATTATGACCTCTTAATACACTCAGAAAGAAGCAAAATATCTGTAACAGTTATAGCAGACTTTTAAATTATATGTTGTGAGAAGAAAATGATGTTTAATGCCTAGGGGAAAGCACATGGATAAAATATGCCCTGTTTGCCAGAAGACACTTAATATCTCATTGGGAAGGACCAGATAAATTTCACAATTAGCCAGTATAGGTCACTTTGACATCTTTTTAGAGCCTTGTGTTCCAAATTCAAAGCAGCAACAGTAGTGCTTTGCCAGTTACTCTTTTAACATTCTGAGCTAAATCATCCAAAAATAAGGTCTTATCTTGATAAGAGAAAGCTAATGTGAATTTCACTTTACTTGGGGAGCAATTATTGGGTTGTTTGGAAAGATTTTGAATTAATAGAATGAATTTTGTTTTCATGTTTTTAAGCAAGTTGAAAAACATATGAAATGGCTGCTAGACCCACTGCCAGTGAATGTAAGAGTCATTGTGTCTGTGAATGTACAAACATGCCCTCCAGCGTGGAGGTACGATGCCACCTTTAGTTCTTACAGATTATGTGAACTGTTTTAAGTACAAACAAGGAAAGCAGTTTGATATGTGTGTTTGTTTTTCTTATTTTTCACATAAGTGGCAGTGAGAACAGGGAGATGGGGATGAATTCAAGAAAACGACTCTGTAAGATTGTGTGAAAGGCTGGATCTGGGATATGAGAAAAGGAGAAGGCGAGGATGATTCCCAAGTTTCTGATTTGAGAAATTTAGTAAATTATGGCTCCATTAACTGAAATAGGAAACAGGTGGAGCAGGTTTGTCAGCGAACAGTCATGAGTGTACTTTTTGGACGTGGTTAGTTTGAGTTCCTTATTGTAGCTCCAGGTAGCAGTTTTTTAGTAGGCAGTGAAATTATGGATAAGGAAAAACTGGGAGAGGGCAAGGCTGGGAATAATAGACTAGAGAGCTATTATTTTGAAATGCAAGCTCACTATAACTCAAAAAAGGGATCCTGTAGTCAAATTCTTTAACATAGTGTTTCTTAACTTATTTTTGCCTTTAGAAAAGTTTTTTTGCCCTCTTTTTTTTCCCCACTGTGTGATTTTTTTAAATCGTTATAAAATATAGCTGACACAGCATTTGCCAGTTCAACATCTTTCCTGTGTACAATTCGGTGACATACATTACATCAATCATGTTGTATGTTTGCCCCTATTAAATAGCCCTTTTAGACTTTTTCCCCAAAATCCACCTCATGAATTTTAATACCACACACGTACTATATATCATCAGTCTTTGCATATAAACAGATACGGATGTTTATCTGTGTATTATACTTTTATGTAAGAGTAAAATTTTTTGCCACCCCCAACCAATTTTCATCACCCTTGTTGAGAATGCATGCTGGAGGGTAATAAAATTCTAATTGGATTATAAGTACCTGGTGGGCAAAGACTGGAGTGTCCTACTCCTCACAGATGGTACCGACATTTATGTTTAGCTTTACTGATAGCATAAAACATAGATCTAGAAATGTGTCGCTAGTTAACTATATAGTATATATGCTGTTTATGATGTATCATTGTTTATTGTGATTACTTATTGAAAGTTGTGATGCAGTTATATTAAAATGAATATGATTAAGGAGCTCTGGTGGCATAGTCCCTAAGGCATCTGACTGCTAACCAGAAAGTTGGTGGTTCAAACCCACCAGCCACTCCATGGAAGGAAGACTGGGCAAACTGCTTCTCTAAAGATTTAGTACCTCGAAACCCAAAGAGGGTCACTGTGAGTTGGAATTGACTCAATGGCAGTGAGTTTATTTGTTTGTTTGTTTTAAATATGAGATCAGTTTTGATTATTTTATAAAGACAGTATAAAACATGTAATTCCTGTAATGGATTTTAACTTTTTTTGTGGGTATATTATAACTCTTGTTATATTATTAGAAGATAATTTTATTTTTCTTTTCTTTAAATAAAAGGTTGTGGCCTACACTTCATCTTGATCCTTTAAACCCAAAAGATGCAAAATCTATTATAGTTGCAGAATGCCACTCTGTAGACATTCAGTTGAGTAAAGAGCAGGTAAGAATTTGAATTTTGGTGCTATCTTTCACTCAGCTTTCCTACAAAATGTCTTATATAAGACTTAAAATTCAGTATAGTAATGCTGTATTATTCAAAGGAAAATCATTTACTTTGGTGCATTCTCTGTTAAACTTCTCTGTTAAATGACATACAGAAGAAGCAATAAAAAAAAATTGGTCTCAAGACTTACTTTAAGATACAAAGTTAAAAGTTATTTTAAAGCAAAGCATTTCCATGTTGACTGCTTCTTCAGTCAGAAGATTGGCTGCAGCCAAGAATCCTCTACTACATGGTGGTGATGTCACTGAGGAGATGCAAGGGGCAGAGTCATTTCTGCTGGGGTGTTGGTTGATGGTTCAATGGTAAAGACCGTTTCATTGCAGGGTAGTTTTTGTATTTTTGTTTTGTTTTTTGGTAAACCGATGCAGGAAAAGAAGCTAGAACGACACTGTCGTTCTGCTACCACCTGCAATGCCCTTTATGTCACCCTTTTCGGCAAAGTCATTGCACGGTAAGTGATTATTTGTTCAAATGATCTTCTGCATGTCTTGTGTTTGCTGCAAAACCCTTCCTCACCACGGGAAACTGAGAACTGAGCATTCCAACAGTTGCTTGGGCCACTTAGATTCTCCTTCTCTTAACAGTGATACTAACATCTTGTGACTTTATATATGACTAAAGATTAAGTAGCCATGAATAATCAAAACTTGCTGGGTATATTTGTCTAATTTTCATCATACTAAACATTTGCCTGGTGGCATAGTGCCTAAGGCATTTGACTGCTAACCAGAAGCCTGGCGGTTCAAACCCATCAGCCACTCCTCAGAAGGAAGATTGGGCAATCTACTTCCGTAATGATATTGTCTCGGAAACTCAAAGAGGAGTCGATATGAGTCAGATCCAACTCAACAACAGTGAGTTTGGTTTTTGGTTTAGTTGGGATTACAAAACAAGGCCATCATTGTCCTTCTTGGGGCCTACTCATTATCACCTGCATGAGGTCCCTAGCTTTGGGAAAATGAAGCAACAACTGAAGTATAAAAACGTTGTTTCAGGTGCCCTTGAATATAGGTAGGTATGGGTGGCACAAGTGGTTTGTGATCAGCTGCTAACCTCAAGGTAGGCAGTTCAAACCTACCAGTGGGTTTGTGGAAGAAAGGCCTGGTGAACTGCTTCCGTAAAGACTACAGCCAGGAAAACCCTGTGGAGCAGTAGACTCTAACATATGGGATTACCACGAGTGGGAATTGAGTCAATAAGTTTATGTATGTAGATGGCAATTCTCTATTGTCTCAGTTCTCAAAATCCTGATAAACTTTTCATCTTTAAACATAATTCTTTCATTTTAGATTTCATTAGTTATTTGCCTATAGGTAAAATGTTAGGATGTTCCACTACTTTTTTTCTTCAGTACAGTTTCACCCTACTTTGTGTATTCTCAACCAGAGAAAGAAAAAGAATACTTTGTTTTAGTATTAACCACAATAGATGGTAATCCTAACACAACTCATTTCTAGACATTGAATCTAGCACTCTTGTCTCCTAATTCCACATTCTTGTTTTAAGCACCAAATTTGAAATGAAAATCTTCTAAACCTGTAAGATTTAGAAAAAAATCTACAAAAATCCGTGATAGTTTCACTGTCCTTCCCCACTGTTCTCAGTTTGGTGATGATGTGTTTGGCAGCTATGAGCACCAGTAACTTGCATAAGTACCCTTCAGGACTGTGAGTCATTTTTCACACATTTCTAAATTTTTGTTGACATATGTATTTTAAGAGGGACTATGGACCATTTTTTGCTTTTTTCCCTTTATACACCTTTCATTTTTTAAAAAATGTTGATAAATATTGTGTAAATATCTTAAACTTTCCTATTTATTGATTTTCTTTAACCTGATGTTTTCCAAAATCTGACTGTAAACATATTTAATTTGCACGACTAACTAACTAATAATATTTATTTATAATTATATACATAGATGGCATGCTTCTGGATGAGAGGGCTCATCTTATTTTTATATTCTAAAATGAGTAGCTATTGCGTGGCATATAATAATTCCCAGCAAATATTTATTGAATTGAATTAAATACCAAAATAAACTCGATGGCTCTAGCAGCCTACCATTTTCCTGTATTGCTTTATTGAATTCCTATTAATAGTTGCCTTACAAAAAAGAGAGACCACTTGTTTTCATCTGCCTCAAAATTTTAACAGATTTTGGCAGTCTGTAAGAAATTAAATCTATTCTCAATTCCAACAGTGCTGGGAGAGCAGGCAATTTAGATAAAATCCTGCATCAGTGTTTCCAGTGTCAAGATACCATTTCATTATATAGACTTGTCCTGCAGTCTCTCCAGGAGTCCATGGGGAATGATATGGATAAAGAACTGATGAAAGAGGTAAAGTATAATAAGATTATAAAAGGAAGAGTGTTTTACCTTGTTTATATTTCTGTGTGAGTTGAAGTAAATAATAATTTTTTTTTAATTTGTCATTAAATATTCCAAATATTACAGAAAAGCTCCCAGCCACAGTGTGCATGTGGCCAGAAGTGATCTCAGAGAAATTTGCATTTTTCCAGATTACCATTGAGATTTATCCTCTTTCCGTGGTTATTGACTAGTCATAGTTCCTCTTATATGAATTGCCATTTCAAGTCCTTTACCTGTTTTTCTTTTTCTTACAGATGTATAAGAGTTTTTACATGTTCTGCATATAAATCCTTTCTTTTACAGAATGCAAATATATATCTTTTTCCACTTGCTTTTCTCTCTGTCCTTTTAACTTTATGGTATAATTCATAATACAAAGTTTTATTTTGATAAAGTTATTTTATCAGTATTTCCTTTATGCTTTATGGTTTGTACTTGTATTATCTTGTTCAAAAAGTCCTTTGCTATCATAAAACTGTTGATATATGCAGTCGGTCCTCATCATTTGTATGCTCTGTGCTTGCAAATTTTGCCTATTTACTAAATTGCATTTGTAACCCCAAAATCAATATTCATGATGCTTTCACAGTTGTTCGTGGATATGTACAGAGAAAAAAAAAAACTGCCATCGAGTCAATTCTAATAGAGACTCCTTTGGGTTTCTGAGGCAGTAAATCTTTACAGAAGTAGATCACCCAGTCTTCCTTCCACAGGGTGGCTGGTGGGTTTGAACCACCAACCTTCTGGTTAGTAGTCAGATGTCTTAGGCACTACTCCACCAGAGCTCCTTGGATATGTGCAGAGTAGTGAAAAGTTTAAGTTGTTTGATACTGAAGTTCCCAGCTGAGTTGGAACAAGGTTACACTCTGCCTCCATGTTTCAGCTCTCGTACTGTAAATAAGTGTCCTTTTTGTGATCTACTTAGTGCATTTATTTATTTATTTTGCAGTTGGGGGGATGGTTGATGATTTTATATTAAAAATGACCCCCAAGCATAGTGCTGAATAGCTGTCTGGTATTCCTAAGCTCAATAATGCTAATTTGTGTTAGATAAACTTCATTCAGGCATGCGTTTTAGTGCTCAATTAATCAATGATATATATTAAACAAGGTATCTTTAAACAGAAACACACATGAAACAAGGTTATTCATTTATCAATTGATGAAAAGGTTGTGATCAAAGGCTCACAGGAATTTAACCCTATATTTCTTCTAGAAGCCAAAAAAAAAAACAAACTCAACTGCCATCGAGTCAGATCTGACTCACAGCAACCCCTCCTTGGGTTTCCAAGGAGGTATCACTGCAGAAGTAGATTGCCCAACCTTCCTTCCAAGGAGTGACTGGTGGGTTTCAACCGCCAGCCTTCTGGTTAGGAGCCTTAGGCACTATGCCACCAGAGCTCCTCCTCTAGAAGCAGTGGTTCAGTATTCACTAATTCAGTGTTCATACTGACTTTTTAGAACTTAACTAACTCAAATAATGAGAATCAACTGTGTTTGTGTGTATGTGCATATGCATATATATGTACTTAAAGAAGGTTTACAGTTTTGTTTATCATGTGTAAGTCCTTCATTTATGTCAGTTTATTTTTGTTTATTATGTGATATAAAGAACTGCATTTCAATCTTTGATCATTTGGCTACCCAGTTTTCCACTTTGCTGAGTAGTACATCTTTTCTAGTGATTTGTAATGTCACCTATCAAATACCAGCCTCACATATAAATGTGGGTCTATGTCTGGGCATTTCTGTTCCACTTTTGCCTATCCTTGCCAACTTCACACAATCTTAGTTATTAGACCTTTAAACTGAGCCTTGATATTTGGTTGGGCAAGTACCCTCTTACTGTTTTTCACAGTTGTCTTGGCTAATTGCCCATATTTATTTTTAGAATTGGCTTAGCAAATGGCATGGAAACCCATTTTGAATTTTAATTGGAATTGTACTGAATTTAGAGATTCACTGGGGAGAATTTTAATGAGTCAGTGGAAATGGAAACTTCAGTAGGTCTCCATTTATTTAATCATCTTTTTAAATGTTTTATCTTCTTCATAAAGGTAGAAAAATAAAATTAAAAATTGTTTGTTACAATTATTTCTAATAACATTTTTAATTGTGTTGTTGCTGATGTATTCAATTTTATTTACTGAAAATTTATTTCATATCTAGTGGCCTTTCTGAACTCTTACAATAAATATGAACCTAGATATGTGTTTTTCTCAGCTTAGGAGTTCTTGGGATTTTGATTTCTCATCCTATCCCCAAGTCCACAAGCTTTGTTGTCTTCTTGTGCCTGTGATTAGATGTTTTCTTCTGGCACCCCTTCACTGAGAGTGCAGCCTTTCAAAGGTCCCGGTATTGGCCAACATTCTAGTTCTAACTCTTCACCTCTCAGGGATTAAGGGCTCACCTTCCATCCCCACTGTGGGTGTGAAATCCCAAGCCCTTCAATTACTGGGACTGCTTTCTGTCCACTCCCCTCCCTTCCCCCAAAGCAGCAGCTCCATCACCCTAGCACTTAGCTCTTTGATTTTCAGTTTCCTGTTCATTTCTGACACCTGGAGGATTCCCTTTCCTTTTTGCAAGCTCACCTGTGCATTTACTACTATTTTTGTTATATGTTGTCTCATATGATTAAGTGTTTGTAGTATGAGGGCGAATCCACCCTCTTCCCAGAATTTGGAACTCTGTCAGCAGTTTAATGATCCATTTCATGTAGTTTTAATTTCAACTAAACTGTTTTCTGTGTGTGTATGTTTTCTTTGGCGTGACAGATTTTATATCTTCACACAGTTGATTAATGCCTTTTGGAGAGTATTTTATTGTGTGAATCTGCTTCTTAGTTCAAGATATCATTTGGATTATAAGTTTGAATAAACTAATAAGGCTAAAGAAATTATTGTGGCATTTCTGATGGCCATCAGGTACATATGGAAGTGCTTTATCATTGCTCATTGGTTCTTCTGTCTAGGTTCTCTGCCTTGTCAATGTCAGTCACAATGGTGTGAGCGAATCAGAACTGATGGAGCTTCATCCCGAGGTGTCCTGGGCTGCCTTGACTTCCCTTATTCACAATTTACACAAGATGAGTTTGTTGACTTATGGTTGTGGCTTGCTTAAGTTTCAACATCTACAGGTAAATTTTAAGATCTTTTAATAGGCTTTTTAAAAATTATTATTATAAATGTCAACATCTCATTGCATAGTTTGACAGTGTTATATTATCTTAAATGACAAGACAAAATTGAAATTTGTATGGCAGAAATTTTTTGCAATGACTTTAGGTTAGATATAAAATTCAGCTAGTAGAATGCTTCTGTAATACCTTTATGAGGTAGCTGTTACTGTAAAGGATATTTTTTCTCTCCGAAAGGGAAAAGATGCTGTTTCATTGAATTACCGATACACTTCCATATATACATGTTGTTGTTGTTGCATGCCATCAAGTTGATTCGGACTCATAGAGACCCTCTAGGACAGAGTAGAACTGCCCCATAGGGTTTGTTAGGTTAAAATCTTTAGCAGATGGCCAGGTCTTTTCTTCCATAGCTGGTGGGTTTGAATTTCTGACCTTTCAGTTAGCAGCCAAGCATTTAATCATTGCTGTACCAGGGGTCCTTAAATATACATATATATATATACATGTTTACACATATATAAATAAAGAGCTTGAGCTCTGTTAAGTCAGTCAACATCTGTTCACAGCCCACAATCACAGGGATTGTGAACAGAATTAAATGAGACAGTCTTCAGTCCTTGTGAGGTACTAGACATGATATCTGTCACATGGTAGTAAAGGTCTAGTAAATATTGGCTAATAGCACTTTTAAGATGCTCTAGTGGTGCAGTGGTTAAAGCATTGAGCTGCTAACCAAAGGTCGGTAGTTTAAATACACCAGCCACTCAGTAGGAGAAAGATGAGGCAGTCTGCTTCCATCAAGATGTACAACTTCGGAAACCCTATGGGGATGTTCTATTCTTGTATGGTCACTATGAGAATCGACTTGATGTGGGTTTTAATAGCATTTTTATCATCTGCACTGCTGTGGTTGAGTTATATATAGGTACACAAGCAAATGAAAGCCTTCATTTGAGTATGCTGTGTATTTGTGGCTGTTAGTGTGTGTGATTTCACTCGCTTAATTTCTCCTTTATTGTGTATCTCAAATTTAACTTACTCTTTTAGTGCTTTATCGTGCCATATTTCTGAGATTTTCAATGTATTAACTAAGCATTTGGATTAAATTTTGTTTTGAGTACTAACAATTAATATAGGAAATAATTAATTTCCTATTAATATAGGAAATTTTATTCTGTATCAATTTATCAGATCCAACTCATAGTGACCCCTCCTTGGGTTTCCAAGGCAGTATCACTACAGAAGTAGATTGCCCAACCTTCCTTCCAAGGTTTGAACCTCCAGCCTTCTGGTTAGCAGTCAAATGCCTTAGGCACTACCCCACCAGCTCCTGTCAATTTATCACATAACTATATACTGAATTTTAAAATTTTAAAATATCCTATGTAATATTTCCTATATAATTTTTAAATTGAGGTAATTTTAAATTCCTTTTTTTAAAAAAAAATTTATCAAGAGATGTAAAGTGACTTACAGAAAATTAAATGCAGTATTTTTTTTTTTCTCTCTAGGCTTGGGAAACAGTAAGATTGGAGTATATGGAAGGTCCAACCATTATTTCTTCATATAGGCAAAAGCTAATCAAATATTTTACCTTGCAGCTGAGGTATTATAAATGTCCATATCATTCTTCTGTAAACTTAAGTGAAACCATTTCAGGATCGTTTTATTATTTTTTATCCCAGTTAAACAAATTAAATGTCTGCGTATGTGAGTGTGTGTATGTGTATTTGGGCCCATTGAGATTTTTTTTTCAGTAGTTCGATATTAAGAAAATGCCTTTAGCATTTAGTTGGTGGTCCTGAATTTCACTGAATATTTTTTAATCATTCGATTGACAAAGTTTCTGACTTGACCTGTCTCAGTATTAGATTATACTTTGCAAGTCAGAGATATGTGTTAAGTGCATTTTTCTTCATTCAACATTATTCTGAAGCCTTTTTTAAGCCATCTCATTGTGGGTAGCTATTATTGAGCACTGTCCCCTCTCTTCTGCTAGTCAGGACAGAGTGACTTGGAGAAGTGCAGATGAACTTCCTTGGCTTTTTCAGCAGCAGGGAAGTAAGCAGAAGTTACACGATTGCCTTCTCAATCTCTTTGTGTCTCAAAACCTCTATAAAAGGTAAGAAAGCTTTTATAAAGTAGAACAACTTTCCCCAGAAAAGCACCTTCAAACAGCTGTGCAGTTTTAACAAAGGAAAAATGTGGTATTTTCAATTTAAAAATAAGTCCAGTTTGCAGTGGTACCTGAAATACAAAGCAGGGTGGGAAAAATTTTAAGACAGTTTGCAAACATGCCATGAGATCTGCCTTTTATAAGAGGACATGTAAAAAGATAGAGTATCATGGCATCATAAAATCAGACCTGGAATGCTTCCAGAACAGCTTTATCTATTATTCTTGCATTTAAAAACCCATTGCCTGTGCAGTCAGTTCTGACTCATAGTGACCGATGTAATCTTGATGAAAGCAGACTGCCACCTCTTTCTCCTGTTGAGCAGCTGGGGGATTTGAACCGGGGAACTTTTGGTTAGCAGCCAGGCACTTAACCACTGTGCCACCAGGGCTCCTATTCCTATATTTACCAAACCACCCAGAGAGATGGTTCATAATATCTGCCTCTCAGGGTCTTTATCTGAATTTGAGATATCTGTCTCAAATTATGGCCTTAAGTCTAGACTCTGAGCTCTAAATAGAAGCTGACTGGTAATGATATTTTAAAAAGGATTACCTTATCATTCATAAATATATTTGATATCTCTTTGGTCAGTGACAGAATCACCTTTTTATCAAGCTTCTGACCTACTAAGCCTCATCAGCATTTTACTACCTCACTTAGAAATGTAGTCATTTCTCAAGATATAGCTGCATAGTTTATTTGAGTGAACTCTATCAAATTTCTGCATTGAACCTCTTAAATTATTTCTGATCTCTGTTCCAATTTTTCATGGTTCCTTTGAAATGGAATTCATTCTTTAATATACCAGCTATCCCATCCTACTTAATACCATCACAGATGAATAAGTTTACTTTTATCATTAAATTCCTTGATGGAAATGCAAAGTAGACACTGTGTGACAACTTGCCTATATTTCACTCATTTTTTCATTCTAATTTTTATCATTGAAAGTGGTTTTTTGGATGAGCTCAGCAATATGAAATGTCTAAAGCAGATTCAGAGAACTTCCTTCCATTGGTGAGCAACCAGAGTGATATTAATGATAACAGCCAACACCAAAGTACTTATTGTGTGGCATTATCTCCTTACAGTAACCCCTGAGGCAGGTAGTTGGTGCTCTCATTTCTGCAGATGAGGAGGATTTTTAAGAGGTCAGACGAGCTGCTTCAGGTCCCACAGCTGGGAAGCCGTGAACTCAGATGACAATCTTCATCCACAGCAAACCTCACTACACTGTACTTGCCTTCTAATAGATAGTCAATAGCTTGGTGTGAATTCTGACACTTTTGCTTTATAGTGGATTTGTACATTTGTTTTTCATGAAATTACTGTTATTTGTTGAAACAGAGGACACTTTGCTGAGTTGCTGGGTTATTGGCAGTTTGTTGGCAAAGACAAAAGTGCGATGGCAACAGAATATTTTGATTCCTTGAAGCGGTATGAGAAAAACTGTGAAGGTGAAGAGAACATGATTTGCTTAGCTGATCTTTATGAAACCCTGGGGCGATTTCTCAAGGATCTAGGCCTTCTCAGTCAGGTAACTTCATCAGGGAATCAGGGACAGTGTGGGTTTTCAGGAGGTCTGACATTTACTCTTCTCTCCTTCCAAGAAGCTTTCTTTTCTTGTGCTAATTAATGGTTAATCATATGACAGATCTTACAGCATTTCTTTGACTTTAATTGCCTTGTAACTTTTTTTTCCCCCAGGCTGTGGTACCTTTGCAGAGGTCTCTAGAAATTCGAGAAACAGCTTTAGATCCAGATCATCCAAGAGTAGCTCAGTCTCTCCACCAACTAGCAAGTGTGTATGTGCAGTGGAAGAAGTTTGGCAATGCAGAACAGCTATACAAGCAGGCATTGGAAATCTCAGAAAATGCTTATGGTGTGGACCATCCACATATTGCTCGTGAACTTGAGGCACTTGCAACTTTGTACCAGAAACAAAATAAGTAAGACTGAGATGAGGAATATTGTGGCTTTACGAAGGGTAGTTTCAGTTTTTTAATGTACTCTTGTGATAGGCCTTGTTTTATGGCTGTGTAACTTTTCCTTATTCTATATTCTTTTGAATGTACCATATTGAAATGATATTTCCTGGTCTGAGTTCTTTTGGTGCAAAAAGAGAAAATTAAAACTACAAGACTCATCTCTAGTTGATAATACATGGAGGATAGAACATGCATGGACTTTGGAATCATATAGGCCTGGACTTGAATCTTGTGTCTGTCACTAATCAGCTTTGTAAAATTGAGTGCATTACTTAGTTTAGTACCAAAACCAAAAAACCAAACCAAACACACAGCCATCAAGTCAGTTCCAACTCATAGTGACCCCTCCTTGGGTTTCCAAAGTGGTTTCACTACAAAGTAGATTGCCCAACCTTCTTTCCAAGGAGTGGCTGGTATGTTTGAACTGCCACATTTCTGGTTAGAAGTCTAATGCTTTAGGCACTAGACTACCAGAGCTCCCTTAGGAGCTGGCAAGGGACAGGGGTTGGCAAACTGTTGCTCATGGCACATATCCAGCTGGCCCCCTGTTGTGTAAAAAATGTTTTATTGGAATACAGCCATATCGTTTCATGTACATACTGTCTGTGGTTGACTCCGTGCCACAGCAGTAGGATTCAGTAGTTGCAAGTGCAACAGAGGCCATATGGTCCACAAGGCCTAAAAGATTTACTGTCCAGTCCTTTACAGAAAAAGTTTGCTAACTCCTGGTGTAATATAGTCTCATATTTGTTAGGCACCTAGAGAATGGCATGTCTTCCTCTATCAGAAATGATCTCTCTATCCCATCATAAGTGATACATACTGGAATTTTTTCTTTATTTCTTAGAATTCCTGTCTCTCACAAATTCTTTGTGAATTTCAGACACATATTTGACCAATAATTATCCTGTACAGAAGCTGGTGAAATGTCACACTACAATTTGGGGTTTTCATTTAGTTAGGTTGCCCTTTAGAGATGCAGACAGCAGTCAAATGCCAGCTACTAGAAGGACTAGATTTGTTTTGTTTTATCAGATTTTGTTTTGTGAAGTTCTCTGTTAGGGATTTATAATTCCATATGAATGCGACTTCTAGAAATAATGCTGTATTTAATAGTCAACAAAACTTTTATACCAGGTAATGACTACTTAACATTTCACTGAAGTGTGATACTTGCTTCTTTTGTTTGATATCCTCTTTTTTTCCCCCCTAAAGATATGAACAAGCTGAACATTTTAGGAAAAAATCCTTTAAAATTCGCCAGAAAGCTACAAAGAGAAAAGGCAACTTGGTAATGAAAGATTTCTTTTTTGTTATGTTTTGAACCAAAGAGGAAAGGAGCATTTCTGAATATCATAAACCTCACATGTTTGAGAGCTTTCATTTTAAAGTGACTTCTAGAAAAGTATTGATTAACATTTTCATATTTGTATGTATTTCAATATCAGCATCACAAGGAAGTGCAATAGTAGACTTTTAAAAAATGGAACTATAAAGTTCATTGGACTTTAAAGCTGGTACAGTTATTTTTCTTAAAGACATAGAAAAGGAAATAAATTTAGTTAAATTATATGTTAGATTCAAATGCAGAGGAATGATTCCCTTTGGTGAAAAAGACATTGTTTCCATTTTTCTAAGTTGCTGAGAAAACCTAAACATTGTATATTCCTTTGTTATAACTTAAAATGCTACATGTAATTTTAAGTACCTAATGTTTAAGTGTTTAACAATGGGGTTGGTAAATATCTGCAAGTTAATTCTGTTTCTCTTTTTTAAGCACTTTGAGGTATAGTTCACTTGGCTAAAATATCTCATAATCATTTCCATAGGAGTTTATAATGAATTTTAGAATGTGATGCCATATGGAAATAGTGTATTCTTAATTACCATTAGGTTAATTCATTGTGATATACTTGTTATCTAAAGTGGAAAAAAGGAGAAAGGATTTTTTAGAATCCTAATATATTATTTCAGAATCAAGAATTATGCTTGTTGTTGTTGTTGTTATGTGCCGTTGAGTCGGCCCTGACTCATAGCGACCCCTCCTTGGGTTTCTGAGGCAGTATCACTACGGAAGTAGAATTGCCCAACCTTCCTTCCGAGGAGTGGCTGGTGGGTTTGAACCGCCAGCCTTCTGGTTAGCAGTCAAGTGCTTTAGCCACTATGCTACCAGAGCTCCTAGAATTATGCTTAGTGATAGTTTTTAATTTTTGTGTTTCCCTAGTATGGATTTGCCCTTTTACGTCGACGAGCCCTGCAGTTAGAGGAGCTCACGTTAGGTAAGGACACACCTGATAATGCTCGGACCCTCAATGAACTGGGTGTTCTCTACTATCTTCAAAATAACCTGGAGTGAGTACCGTGGTTAATAATGAAAATATGCATCCATTTATTCTCTTAGATGCAAAGCCGTTTTACATTTCTGTCACCTTTAAAGCTAGAAAAAAATTCATAAAAACCATGCCAAGTTGCATGTATGATTTTATGTTATGAACATAGCCATACTTAGTAAAGACCATGGCATTTTCTCGACTTTTTTTTTTTTTTTACGTTATTTCTTTAGTTCTTACAAAGTTATTCTGTAATTATTCTGTATGTTGTATATATTTATGAAAAGTGAGTTTATGTAGATACTAGTCACAAAACCTCACTTGAGGTTAATGGAGAATAAAGAAAACAATGTAGATGGCTGCTGATTTTATTGTTCAGCTTACTTAGACATAAACAACTCAATGGCATTTATACTTTCTAAAAAAAGAAGTATATTTGGATGTCAGAAAAGTAACAAATTTGACACTTCTGGATGTCAGAAAAATATAACAAGTATTTAGCCCATTTCGTGAGAGGTTCTTTAATTAAAAATTATTTCATAAGAACCCTGAAGGGAGTTGAGTGACAAAATCTTTTATTTAGTTAGGCTTACTAATTTAAAAATTGTAGTAAATTTGTTTTAGAAAATGTCTATGGGGATTAGCTTTGAGAAGTGCAGAACTGAGGCAATCTTCCAAAACTTTAGGCCCTCAGTTATCAGGAAAGTATTTTTAATTTTTGGATAAAGGCAGGAACGGATAGAGTTGGGAATGAGAGAGAGGATTTTGAGCTGAATACTTCATTTTAATTATCTTGGATTTAAGGAGTCCTGGTGCCACAGTGGTTAAAGCACTTGCCTGCAACAGAAAGGTCAGTGCTTTGAACCCACCAGCCATTCTGAGATAGGAAGATGTGCCAGTCTGCTTCTGTAAAGAGTATAGCCTTAGAAATCCTATGGGGCAGTTCTACTCTGTCCTTTAGGGTTGCTATGGGTTAGAATCAACTTAGTGGCAGTGGGCTGGCTTGGCTTGGGTTTGGGATTTAAGAATAAAAATGTTTCAATTCTCCTTTTAACTAGGGCTAGGGATTCTGGAATTAACTGTTTGAACCATTTTGGGATTTTGTTCATAGCACAGCTGACCAGTTTCTGAAGCGTTCCTTAGAAATGAGGGAGCGAGTTCTAGGGCCAGACCACCCTGACTGTGCCCAGTCCTTGAATAATCTGGCAGCTCTGTGCAATGAAAAGAAACAGTATGATAAAGCAGAAGAACTTTATGAAAGAGCTTTAGACATTCGGAGACGAGCATTAGCACCCGATCACCCTTCTTTGGCTTACACGGTGAAGCACCTTGCAATCTTGTATAAGAAAATGGTAAGTAATCCTCACATGCTTATGTGTTTTGTAATATACCAGTGAAGACATAATTACTGTCAGCTAAATAATTTGTCTTCTGATGGATAAATTATATGAACATTTAAATCAAATTTAATTTTTTTTAACATAGCTGATTAGAACATTTAAAAATATTATTTCAGACTTAATTAACATTCTGGTTAGGTTTTGTTAAAATATATTCCAAACACAAATGCATACATCAGCATTTGAATTAGAACTTTTTCTTTTATTGTACTTCAGAAGCGCTAAAATTTAACCAGTATCAAATTTGCTGTGCAAAGCAGTCATAAATGTAACAGACCACTTAACTATCAGAGCTTACAAAGGGGTCTTTATGGTTGATTAAATAAGCCATTTTTTTCATTCTCTCTTGACTTTGCACCCAATTAAATGTAACCATTTTTTGCCCTAGAATTCTATAACTGGAATTTTTATAGCTATTCTCATTAAAAAAAAAAAAAAAGTTGGCTTTCACTCAGTATAATTACAGAGCTGCATAGATTCCTTACAGTTTGTGGGACCCTCTGATGTCCTGGCACTGAAGTTGATGTTTTAATAATAAAGGGTCATTGTTGCTATTTCCACACAACTTTTAGTAGAAGGAAATAATTTTTAAAATCTACAGGAGGCTTGGGGAATGGTATCATCTATTGCCTTAATATTCTTATTAGATTTCACTTTCATTTTTTTAGGGGAAACTTGACAAGGCTGTACCTTTGTATGAGTTGGCTGTTGAAATTCGACAGAAATCCTTTGGCCCAAAGCACCCTAGTGTGGCTACTGCCTTGGTGAACTTAGCTGTTCTTTATAGCCAAATGGTAAGCTCCCACAATTTAACGCTACATGAATGAGAAATATAAAATGTAAACATTAGTGAGGCATAAAACTCACTGCTGTCAAGTCAGATCTGACTCATAGTGACCCCTGCTTGGGTTTCCCAGGCGGTATCACTATGGAAGTAGATTGCCCAACCTTCCTTCCGAGGAGTGGCCGGTGGGTTTGAACTGCCAGCCTTCTGGTTAGTGGTCAAAATGCCTTAGGCACTATGCCACCAGAGCTCCTTAGTTAGGCATAGCACAGTAAAATTATTTAAAGACAGTTTAGGGTTATTACTTATCAACTAATGCTTCCTCTACCACTTGAAAAATTATTGAAGTTGCATTTACAAAAAATTCTTCTATTGTAAAATGCTGACTCTTATTTTACAGTATAGGCTTAGTGATTTTTTAAATTCTGGAGGCTCCCTGCATTTCTACATATATTATCTGTAAACTTGTGGCATTTGCCTTAGATGGGAAAAGAATGGGTGTGGGGTACACACTGGGTAGTTAAGACACAGATTTTTGTTTCAGTTATTGGATTGAGACCCACCTGAAGAGTCTGATTTTCCTGTTATACTGCTGGGAGAAGCTCTCCCATTATGGTTATTCCTTAATTAATCTGTTTATCCAGATCTTTAGGGGTATTGACATTTTGGAAGTACTTACCAAAGTAGGTCAGCTTAGTCTAGAATACATTAATAATAATTTCAGAAACTCCTTGTATTCAAGTGAACATTATTACTTTTTCTTAATGAGAAAAAACACATTGAAGCCTTGCCATTATATGAAAGAGCATTAAAGATTTATGAAGATAGCCTGGGCCGGATGCATCCTCGAGTTGGAGAGACATTAAAAAATTTAGCTGTGCTTAGGTAAGAATTTTTTCACTTTCCTGATACAGCCCAACTCTAACTCTTTCACAACAACTTTAATTTGACTCATCATAGGAAATGCAAAATATTTACTGGGGAGTAGGTTTTTTTTCCTGGTATTGGGAGGCTATGTGTATGTGTGTTTTTGCTGATCTACTTCAAGAGATAATAAAGTAATATCCAGAAGTGAAATGAAGGTTATACAACCTACTCTGCAAAGAGAAGTATTTCATGGATGATTCACATTTATAACTTAACTGGCTCTGGAGGTAATATGGGCAATTTACTATCCTCAGAGCTAACTTACCATGAAGTAGATGATGACTTTCTTGCTCATTTGTGTTTCTCTCAGGATGTAGAGTACCTAACTTCCTTAGCAATCTCATTGCATCCATTACTACATTATGTTAATGCTGTCTGCATAAGACCCTAAAATGTTCCACAGCAGTATAGATGTTGAGTAAATGCACTGAAAAAGGAAGAAAGAAAATTAGAAATTATTCCTAACATTTCTGTGCCCATAAGGTCACTTAGAATTGTTAAGAGCCTATAGTAATTCTCATTTTAAGAATTTTATTTTTTTTCTCAAAGCTATGAAGAAGGAGATTTTGAAAAGGCAGCTGAACTATACAAAAGGGCAATGGAAATAAAAGAAGCAGAAACATCACTTTTGGGTGGAAAAGCTCCTTCACAGCGCTCATCAAGTGGAGACACATTTAGCTTAAAAACAAGCCACTCCCCTAATGCTCTCCTTCATCAAGGACAAAGGTAGTAGCAACAATTTCAGTGCACCATAGGATAAACAAACATTTGAACATTAAAATTTAAAACTTTTAAAAAAAGACTATATTTTTATGAAATTTTATTTTTCCTATTTTATGTGATTTATCTGATCCAAAAAAACCAAACCCACTGCCATTGGGTCGATTACAACTCATAGTGACCCCCACTGGGTTTCCAAGGCAGTAAATCTTGACTAAAGTGGATTGCCCAGTGGTCCTCCCGCAGAGTGGCTGGTGGGTTTGAACTGCTGACCTTCTGGTTAGCAAATGCTTTAAGCACTGCGTCACCAGAGCTCCTTGATTCAGCTGATATATGTATGAAATTGTGCTGGACTACTCCGAAGTGTGAATTGTAATAGTGTCGGCTTTGTTGGAATTAATTAATGTTGCTATTTTCTGTGGGATCCAAAGATGTAGACACATTAGAATTTTAAGATGACATGAAGGGTGGATCTGTCTCTTCTGTTCAAGAGCTGGCAGAGCAGTTAAGATGAAGAATTTAAAAATTCCATCTCTTCTCATCTCTTCAGAGCTGCATTAGTCTTGTCTTGCTTTTGGTGTGGCCCAGTTCTCTACTGCAAAGAAGAGTTTCAAGGATTATGGATAATTTTTATGAAAAGTTTGAATTGTCTTCAGTGAAAAGAACAAGTCATGGGAATCCTTGATTACTACATTTTTTAAATTCTACCGTTTCCTTGAGCAGATTTGGGCCAATCTCTCTGCTTTCTATTTTGGATCTAACCCCAACCCAATTTTTTTTTTTTTAAATGTCACCTTGAGGACTAAGGTGTGCCTGATCCAAGCCATGGTATTTTCAGTCACCTCTTATGCATGCAAAAGCTGGACAAAAAATAAGGAAGACAGAAGAATTGATGGATTTGAATTATAGTGTTGGTGAAGAATATTAAATACACCATGGACTGCCAGAAGAAATGAAATCTGTGTTGGAAGAGGTACAGACAGAAAAGCCCCATAGAAGTGAGGATGGTGGGACTTTGTCTCATGTACTTAGGACATGTTATCAGGAAGGACCAGCCCCTGGAGGACATTGTGCTTGAGTAGAAGGTGAGTAAAAAAGAGGAAGACCTTCAACGAGATGCATGCATTGACACAGTGACTGAACAGTGAGCTCAAACATAGCCACAATTGTGAGGATGGTGCAGGATTGGGCAGTGTTTCATTCTGGTGTATATGGGATGGGTCGCTGAATCAGAACTACCTTGACAACACCTAACAACATGTATCTGCATAATGTTGGAGGTCATTAAAGCTGTAACAGGTCAAGTTCCTTGGCATTCTTTGACCTTTCACCAAATAGGCATTCTCTTACTTTCTTTATTAAATGGCCAAATCTGTCTTTTCATTTACCTCAAACTCAATTTGCCATTTTTATACTGAAAATTAAGTACTTTCTATAGATTTTATAAATATTACATCATTTTTGATACTGTATACTGTTGTTTGATGTCTGTATTTTTTAAAATCTTAATCATTTTAATACTTGTAATATTCTAATGCATATTGATTGTAAGGATAAAAGATGTAATTTAACCGCACTTCATTGGTTTACAATAAAAGTGCATTTTTTTTCCATTGCAGTGTATACATGAGGGCTACATTTTGCATAGTTAAAAATATTACAAGAAGACTTGAATGTTCCCAGTACCCACTGAGTAGTTTCCTCAACTTGAGGAGTTTTGATGACTTACATAGGTTTTGGTTAATGTTCCCTAAGGCCTGGCTACTCACAGGAGGTGGTCTACGAACCTGTATCATCAGCACCACCTGGGAGCTTGGGCCTGTCCCCAGACCTACTTGAATGAGAGTCTGAATTTTAGCTAGATCCTCTGGTGATTGTTACTCACTTAACCTTGAAAAGCAATGTAACTTCTCTGAGTAAGAAGTTATATTGCTCAACATGTAAGCATGTAACTCTAAGGCACTGTGTTGTTGTGTGCTGTTGAATCTATTCTGACTTATAGTGACCCCATGTGACAGAGTAGAACTGCCTCATAGTTTTCTAGGCTGTAATCTTATGAGTAGATCTCCAGGTCTTTCTCCCACAGAACACCTGGTGGGTTTGAACCACCAACCATTTGGTTAGTAGTTGAGCACTTATCTATTATGCTACCCGGGTTCCTTAAGACACTATAGCCCAAAACTCATTGCTCTGGAGTCAATTCTGACTCCCAGTGACCCTATAGGACAGACTAGAGCTGCCTTGTAGGATTCCCAAGGCTGTAAATCTTTGTAGAAGCATATTGTTTCATGTTTATCCCACAGAGCAGCTGGTGGGTCTGAGTCACTGACCTTTGGGTTAGCAGCTGAGTGTGTAACCACTGCACCACCAGGGCGCCTCTAAGGCACTATAACCAAAAAAACCAAACTGGCTGCCATTGAGTCAACCCTGACTCATATAGTCCTTTGGGACAGAGTAAACTGCCCCCATAGGATTTCCAGTTATAAATCTTTATGAAAGCAGACTGCCTCATCTTTCTCCCATGGAGCGGCTTTGATGTTGTTGCTGTTAGGTGCCGTCAAGTCGGGTCCAACTTATAGTGACCTTTGTAGAACAGAACAAAATACTGTCTGGTGCTGTGCCAGTCTTACCGAAAACTCACTGCCCTCAGTTGGATCCGACTCATAGTGACCCCTCCTTGGGTTTCTGAGGCAGTGTCACTATGGAAGTAGATTGCCCCATCTTCCTTCCCAGGAGGGCTGGTGGGTTTGAACTACTAGCCTTCTAGTTAGTAGTCAAGTGCCTTAGGGACTACACCCCCAGAGCTCCTATTCCAGAGCTCCTATTCCAGCCTCACAGTCCTTGCTGTATCTTAGCCCATCGTAGCAGCCACTGTGTCAATCCATCTCATTGAGGGCCTTCTGCTTTTTTGATGACCCTCCACTTTACCAAACATGATATCCTTCTTTAGGGAATGGGTCCTTCTGACAACATGACCAAAGTATGTGAGATGAAATCTGGCCATTCTTGCTTCCAAGGAGCATTCCGCCTGCACATCTAGGACAGATTTGTTAGTTCTGGCAGTCTGTGGTACTTTCAGTATTCTTTGCCAACACCATATTTCAAAGACATCAACTCTTCTTTTGTCTTCCTTATTCGTAGTCCAGCTTGCACATGCATATGAGGCTATTGAAAATACCATGGCTTGGGTTAGGTGCACCTTAGTTTTCAAAGAGACATCTTCACTCTTTAGCACTTTAAAGAGATCTTTTGCAGATTTGCTCAGGGCAATATGTCATCTGATTTTTCTTTTTTTCCTTTTTGTTAATTATGTACAGTTTTTTTATAATTATGATTTGGGTGAGTTTACAAAGGAAATTCATTTTATTATACACATTTTATTTAATGACATTGACTGCAATTCCTCATAATGTAACAGCTCTCTTCCCACTTCCTCCCCATAGTTACATCTGATCACTTCATCTTTGTCCCATGAAGTGGCCAGTTCATTCTGGTACTGTGACTGTGTATTCCTTTCATCTTTTGATGTTTCCTGCATCATTCAATATTTTGCCCACAGAATCTTTCAATGTTGCAGCTCGAGGCTTGATTTTTTTTCCTTCCATTCTTTCAGCTTGAGAAATGCTGAGCATGTTCTTCCCTTTTGGTTTTCTAACCCCAGGTCTTTGTACATTTCATTATAACTGACTTTGTCTTCTCAAGCTACTCTGAAATCATCTGTTCTTTTATCTTGTCACTTGTTCCATTTACTTTAGCTACTCTCCATTCAGGAGCAAATTTCAGAGTCTCTTCTCACATTTTTCTCCCCTTTCCTGTCTTTTTAATGACTTTTTACTTTCTTCATGTATGAGGTTCATAGTGTCATCCCACAATTTGTCTGGTTTTCAGTCATTGGTTTTCGGTGCATCAGATCTGTTCTTCCAGTGGTCTCTAAATTCAAGTGGGATATAATCAAGGTCATATTTTGGCTCTCGTGGGCTTGTTTTAATTGTCTTATGCTTCAACTTGAACTTGCATATGAACAGTTGATGGTCTGTTCCACAGTCAACTCCTGGCCTTGTTTTGGCTGAAGCTACTGACCTCCATTTCCTCTTTCCACAGATGTAGTCGTTCTGATTCCTGTGTATTATATCTGACAAGGTCCACATGTATAGCCACTGTATATGTTGTTGAAAAAAGGTATTTACAATGAATAAGTTGTTGGTCTTGAAAAATTGTATCGTGCGATCTCTGGCATCATTTCTATCACCAAGACCATATTTTCCAACTTTATGTGTTTCATTTAATTTTTGACAACTTCCAATTTTCCTAGATTCATACTTTGTACATTCTATGTTCTGAATATTAGTGGATGTTTGCAGCTGTTTCTTCCATTTTGAGCTACTCAGATAGGAATATAATATTTATAGTATGATAGACATCTATTAAATATTAATTACTATATTAATATAAGACATTCATAATGAAAAAGGTAGCTTTCAGACAACTCAATTATAAGCATGAACTGGTAGGATCCAAATTATGGTGGTTATGGTTAATCTTTGTCAATTTTTACAGATTTTTTTATGTGATTTGAGGAGGTTAAAAGCTTTTAAATGGTCGTTACCTTTTTTATTGGTCAATGTGTTCATACATATACAGGGAGTACTAGTATGAGAAGAAACCCATAATATATATTTTCCTTACCACATAAAAACATTTGTGTGCTATCACAAATTCATTTCCCATTAACAATGTTTAGGGGAGATAGTAGCTGAATTTATTGTTTGTTTGTTTGTTAAAGCCTCTGTGCTAGGGCAGTTTTAGGAGTGCTTTCCCATCTTTCACATTGAAAAACAACAGTGTTCACAAATTGGATCAAATACTGTGGATTTATTTTTAATGCAATATGCAGTAATGATTAATTTCCCATGCTCAGCTGGTACCTATGTTGAACTTAGGAAAGCAAGTAAGCTCATCTGAGGAAAGCATCACCATATCCAAGTTTTCATGGCATATAGACTATCAAGAAAGCACTCCCAGTAGTGGCAATAACAGCAGATTTTGTCTGGCAAAATAATCCAATAAATATTTTTTTAATGAAAGATCTTATCAAAAAAATTA